AGCAGCACCACGATGCTGAAGGAGCTGAAGGAGCTGCTGGAGGCCGCCTTCGAGCTCCGTGAGATCTCGCCGGTGCAGAAGTACCTCGGGTCGGAAATCGTGCGCGACAGGCCGGCTAGGAAGCTATGGCTGCACCAGCTGGGCTACGCCGACAAGCTGCGCAAGCGCTTCATCGACGAGGAGCAGGGCGGTCGAGTCCCAAAGACGCCGGTCTTAGTCGACGCCTACGCTGAGCTGGCGTTTGACGGCGAGGAGTCCCAGGAGCGCGAGCAGGAGGAGTATCGTCAAAAGGTCGGTTCGCTGCAGTTCGCGGCTTCGACGACGAGGCCGGACATTGCGTTCGCCTGCAGCAAGCTGGGGAGCGGCCTCACGGTGAGGAGCGACCAGCATTGGCGCGAGGTCGACTGCTGCATCGCCTACCTCGCTGACACCCGCGACACCGCCCTGGAGTTCGGCGGTGGACCAGAGTCGCTGGAGCTGATCGGCTACATGGACGCCGACGATGCGGGCGACAAGCAAAACCGGACGAGCATGGGCGGCTACGTGTTCGTCTTCGGAGGGGCCGCTGTCTCCTGGTCGAGCTCGCGCATCAAGTGCGCGCCACTCTTCTCGACCGAGTTGGAGTAAGTCGCGGCGACGGATGCAGGCAAGGAGGGACGCCGACTCCGCTTCCTCCTTGCGGAATTCAAGCTGCTCGACGCTGGGAAGCCGACCATCCTCCGTGTCGACAACAAGTCGGCGATCACTGTCGCTGAGGGCATGGGGTTGACGGGCAACCTTAAGCACATGGAGCGACGCTACGCCTGGCTGCAGCACATGGTGAGGCGCGGGAAGTTCGTGCTGAAGTACATCTCGACCACCGAGCAGCCGGCGGACTTCCTGACGAAGGCGCTGCATTTTCCGGCTTTCAACCGGTGCTCTGTCACCATCGGCCAAGTTCGTCTGGCCGACGTCGGCGACGGCAACGATGAGGTACAGCAGTAGGTGTCATGCCCTTCTGCACGGCTGGTGCAGTGACGACGTGCTGTGTGTGGGGTGCACGCCGAGGAGGAGTCTTCCCCATGGGGTACTGCTGTGTGGGTTGGAGGCCCAAGCGTGAGCGCGGCAGGGGATTGTTAACGGGGTTGGGCAACGCCGACGACTTGGTTGGATGTACGGGAGTGGCAGCTGACCATTCACAGTGGGAGAGTTGCTCGACAGGTTACGTCGAGCTGCAGGGGGCCGCTGTGGCGTTGCTGTCGACCAGGGAGCTCGACAGCTGCAACTGACTGGCCTGGGCGACGGGTGGGCCGTCCGGGAGGTCGACGGAGCAGTCCGTCGACCTACAGTTCGACGGGGAGGTCTGCGGAGCATCCCGTCGACCTGCAGCTCGACCGGGAGGTCTGCGGAGCATCCCGTCGACCTGCAGCTCGACCGGGAGGTCCGCGAAGCATCCCGTCGACCTGCTGCTCGACCGAGAGGTCGACAGAGCAGTTCTGGTCGACGGAAGGGGTCCATCGACCAGGGGGTAGCTTGACGGGAGCTGTAGTAGACCATGGGCATCTGGTGGTCGACCAGAGGGAGCTGTGGTCGACCAGGTGCACCTGGTGGTCGACCGAAAGCACTGGTGGTCGACCAGAGCACCTGGTGGTGTCCGGGTCGACCGGGTAACCTGCTCGACGAGTTCTGCGGAGGCACACGAACGTCGTGGAGGTCGCGATGGCGAAGGCGACTTCGGGATGGTATCCCGAAGTTGATGTGCCTCGTCAAGCGCAGACAACAGCCGACGGATCCACAACGAAACAAGTCGGGCCAATCGTCTGCGCGAACCTGCGAGCGTGCGCACTGCTATCGTTTACGCGGCAACGCTGGACAGCCGCTCTGCTGCAGCGTTGGCACGCCGTCGACGTGCAAGGTTGGCACGTCGCTCTTCTGTAGTGCTGGCGCGGCTCCTCTACGCAACGCTGGCACGCGGTCGACCATGCTGTGCTGGCGGTCGACCATGCTAGCTACAGAGTTGCTAGGTGCCTGATGTGGTCATTCTGTCATTGCTTGTTCAATCATTCTGTATTCTCAATCTTTGCTAGTGGAAACTTTTGCCAATTTCTCCCTTGAATGCGCAAGTGCTAAGAAACCAAGCAAAGCTACGATCACTCCTAGTAGTTTGTGCCAACCCCCGTAGTCGAGCTCACTACAGTTGTAGAGCGAATCTCCGCAGGACGGTGGTCGACAAGCTCGCAAAGGACGCTGGTCGACGAGCTCGCAGAGGGCGCTGGTAGATGACCAAACCAATCACCTTGCAACAACGCCTGTCGTGGAGGTGGTGGTGGATGCCAATTCTCCTCAGTCCCTTCAAGGAGGTCTCTGGCGAGGTATCCAACTGTGGTGCAGCGTTTTCTTGTACTTCTCTACATCCTGAAGGTCGCTTCTGATTCATGTATGACATACGATGATTTTTTAGGGTAAACTGACGCAGAAAGGCTGTGCTGTTATGAGGCTTGGCCAAGGGCCCGCGGCTGGAGATGGGCGGGGAGGAGAGCCATGGACGCCTGTGGGCGTTCCAGGAGGTTGACAAGGAGGCTTGCTGCTGTTAGTATTGAGGTGGGGTGAGGCAACATAAGGGGCCTTCTGTGGCCGGGTCAGCCATGTCAAGCCCCCCAAGGGTGGCTATGAGGGAGGCCATACGTCCAGAGGACTATTTTTTAACAGCCATCGTGGCGCCCCTCCTGACGACGTGTTGCTCGCTCGCTGTACCTATCGCTGCGACTGTCGAGACGACCATGATGGCCAGCCCTTTTGGCCTGTTGCCTGCCCGTCCTGCTGCTCCGGCGCACTGCCCGGAAGCTTGCCCCGATGCACTGCCACGTCACCTGCCTGTTGGCTGTCCCGTTGCGCTGCCTCATCGTCCATTGACCGACACCGCTACTGCAGCACCTTCTGGAGTAGCGCCAGTGCCAGAGCCAGTGCCAGCGCCAGTGCCAGTGCCAGTGCCAGCACCACTGCCAGTGTTAGCGCCAGTGCTAGCGCCAGAGCAAGCCCCCTTAGCCCACCTCCCCACCCCTCTCTTTCCTCCTCGTGCATGCAGCGTTAGCCACCTTTGCACCTACACATGCTGCGCATGCCACTGTGGGGGGGAGGTTAAAGGGGTGGCGGGAGTGCATTTGCAGTGTCAGCTGCCTCCTCCTCCTCTCTCTGCCGCCACCTGTTCCTGCTGCCCATGCAGGTTGCCCGTGCCTGTTGCTCTTGCCTGCAGCCCGTGTCTGCAGTCGCTTCCGTCTACTGGCACCCTCAAGTGCTGCCATTGAGAGCCCTGCTGTGCCGCTGCTCGTTGCAGCAACTGCACCCGCTCTCCAGGTGACAAGTTGTTGCGTGCTCCCATTGCTTTCTGCCAAATGTACCCTTTCACAAGTGTTGACTACACTAGTCTATGCTGAGGCCGTTTGTTTGGGTGTGTCAAATATACATGTTTCATATATAGCTAGATTGTACTCTAGTGTAACCCCTGTTGGTGGTGTACTTCCTTGATTACGTGCTTTCTTGTATTTCTTTCTTGCTTCTTTCAATACAACCCCTTCTTCCTCTTGGTACTTTTTTTGGCCAGAAAATGGTGAGAGCAAGGGTGAGTGTGAGGGCGATTGCGTGGCTGTGTGTGTGGCGGGGTGCATTGGTGTGCGAGGGTGAGTGTGTGGCTGAGTGCGAGGGTGAGTGGGAATAACTATTCGACCTTGACGCTGAATGTACACAGTCGACTCTTAGGACCACCTCAGTCTAAAAACGGTATAGGGTTCTCCCTGACAAAACACCCCCCATGTTAGAGCATCCCCGGGTAGCTTGTGCGGGGTGGGTGCTATGGGCGACCTCGATTTCACTATATCCCCCTTTTTGGCTATTTTTTTACAACCCCCCCCCCCCCCCTTTCTTATAGATTCTTTATTACATCTGTTAACGAGAAGGTGCAAGTATGGGAGGATATCGCAAAAAATCCCTCCCTTAATGCAATTTCGAGGTTCTTTCATTTCGAATTTGCCGAGATTGCCCCCCGCCCACCATTTCGCTATCGCCACGTGCTTGCGAATCTTCCGCTGCAAGTGGCCAGACAGGTGTCATATGACATTTTCGATTGGGTGATAACGTTCGCATCGAAACTCCCATTCGCGCCTTAACATGCTATGCTAAAACGCCCATGGAAACACTCAACTTGTCTAATTAAAAAAACTCTTACACTAAAATATACCATACATATGCACCGGGTATTATGTATCTTTTTCCTATGGGAAGACACCCCCCTATTTTGTCCTGTATTTTTAAATCTACCCTAGGGTGTTATGTCCGGGAGAATACGGTATCTTGGGAGGCCATTAGCCATGCTAGGATCAAGAAAGTTTCTAAGAGTGTTGTCCACCAAGAGATATCCATAACCCACCAAAATTTGAGAGGTTGACCACCACATAGAATGTATAAGCCAGAATTAGCCTTTTAGAAGGTGTAACCAATAATGTCCTAAAACTTGCTAGAAATCACAAACCCAGACTCCACGCAGTCCACTGTCATGCATAAGTTTACACTGAAGTGTACACAACTGACTCACGATATATCCATTCACGATGCGTGTATGGTAGCCACAAACCCCAAATACTTTCTATCATATCTAGAATTGGCCACAACAATGATCGAGTTTTCTAAGGGAGCTACAGCACATACAGGTGAAGAAAAACCTGGGCATGCTATTTCAGACTTGGATTGGATACCATCATACAATGCCAACAGCCCACAACAGTCCATACAGACGTGAAAACTGTTGGCTTCACACCAGGGACCTCGCTAGTGTTTGAATCTGCCTGACGGGTAGTGCTCGTCAAAATTTTTTTGTATCTTGTGTCTGTTACATCAGAATTTTCCATTTTTTCTACCTGGTCAATCAGACGTCCCAGATACTAAGCCCATTTATCTATAATGCACTATATTTAGCAGCTACATCGTTACATATTTATAAAACAGCAAGAAATTCCATTCATCCTACACTACTCTGTGTCGAAGTCACTATCAAGCGCCAGAGTCCCACGAACATCTACACCATGCTCGTCATCACTCTCACTGTCCACCACGTGAGCCTTTCCCTTCTTCCTCTGCCTCGCTTCGTCATCCACAGGCTCGTCTTCTGCCACTGCCTTGGGTGCTTCTGCAACAGACTCTGCCATTACCTTGCGCTTGCAGCTATTGGGCAAACCACTCACTTCCTTTGCTGGGTGACGTTCGCCACAGATTCACGACGTCATCCCAGTCCGGCTCATAGTCGAGCAGGGAGATGCACATGAGATCACCGAGTCTAGCATCGCAAAGGTTGGTGCGAATCCATGACTTGACGATGTTATGGCGGCTGAAACCGCACTCACACTCGACAGTGCTGAGCGGGAGAACGGCGACAGCCACCCACAGGCGCACGAGGTTCGGGTATGAGGACTCCCAGTCCCCGCTCCGCAGCATGTTCTTCAGGCCGACGTGGAAGGTCACGTCCTTTTACTGCACATGGATCCGCGGATGAAGCGCGGCAGCTCCCTCTCCGCCTTCTTCCAGTTGACCCCTGACAGGCACAATACAACTTATTTGATCCAAATTCCAGACAAACCTTGGTCACTTTATATAGAATGAACAGTTGCAATATGGATAAAAAACATTAACAAGTGCTTACCTGGCATGTTGCATGTGTCCGCGCTGAAGAGCTTGCGCAAGCTGGCGAACCAGGCCGCACATACGCGCTCTCGCTTGGCCACGCCATCTGGGTACGCGTCGGGCAGGAACAGCTTGGCCCCATCAAGGGTCGCAAGGCTGCAAAACCTGAAAAGCAGTCGGCCAATGACATCCTCCGCAAACAGCTTTGCAAGGCTCACGCAAGATTCAAGGTCACCTCCTGAATCTTGGCCGTCCAGCTCTTCCTCGTGAAGCTTGAATTGGTGTGACACGGCGTTGCCTTCCCCGTCAATCCCTTCCACCTTATTGACGCACTTAAAAGGGCGTGTGTGCTGCTCCAGAAAGGTGCTAAGGTGCTCGCTGTCCTCGGCAAAGTTGACTCTGTGCTCGATGTAGCGCGCCTTCAGCTTCCGGACGGCCTTTTGAACCATTCCCATCACTCTCGTGATATCGACCTGCATGCAAAGTTTAAGAGAGGAATAGTTAGATAATGGTACACTTCACACGTAAGGCTAAAGCACATGTTGTGACTCACCGCTCACTTCTGGAACCTCCTGTTGAGCTCGTTGAGCTCCTTCAGGACATCAGCAAGGAAGAACAGGAAAAAATGAAACTTGAAGCTCGTCACGACTTTGTACATCTCCTTGAGACACTCGTGCAGCAACACGATGGCGGCCGGCAAGACAGCAATGAGACGGGAGATGGCGTCACCGCGCGACAACCACTGCACGTCTTAGATCCGCTGGGTCTCGAGGGATCTCGATTGGAGAACGTTCTGCAGCTCAAGGAAGCGCTTGTGCACGAGGATGCGGCCGCCAATGATGGTGTGGATGGAGCGCACTGCAGAGTCGACGATGTTGAAGTCGGTGTGGTTCTCGGCGGCATCCTTGGCGGCCAGCGCTTCTCTGCACATTGTAACAAAAATTGTTAGTCATCTAAAATGTAGACAAGACAACCGGCAGCACAGGAACAAGGTATTTATACCTGTGAGCGATGTAGTGACAAGCGACCAGGTGTGGCACCCACATCCGTAGCTGCACCACGAGCCCATTCTGGGAGCCGATCATCACATTAGCACCATCGGTACTTATGCCCGAGATCTTCCGGAGGTCCAATCCCGTGCTATCCAGATGAGCGAGTAGAACGGTAAGAAGAGAGCCGGCGACGCATTTTTCCACTGTCAGGTGCCCGAACAGCTCGGTCGCCACCTTGGCTTCTTTCATGAACGTAATGTATACGATCATATGCTTCCCCCTCCTGCGGTCGGTCGATTCGTCGAGCTGTATCCCCAGGAAGGGTGACTCAACGAGGTACTGCATCTGCCGCGCCTTCAAATGCTTGACGGTCGCCTCCGTCATCTCTCGAAATCCATATCTGCGATGAGGAAGACGATTCAATTAGTTTAAGAAACATTTGACAGCAGGGACAACCCCAAACATTGTACTCACTCCGAGTGATATGTGCCAATAGCCTTGTCAGGGATATGCGGCGTCTTCAGTTGGTGCAGCAATTGAACGAGACCGACGAACAAAGCAATAGGAGCGTCGGATTTGCAAATGAAATGCACACATATAAGTAGTTGCTTCAAACGCAACACCCCCTCCCCGCCCTCAAATTGCTCAATCCCACGTTGCTGAACCCTCGCACCTTCCGCACGCGCCTTGCTGTCGATGGCGTCTTGATGCTTACGACTCAAACCATGCTAGCGCATGGTTTGTTTCTAAATGTCCACGCCGCCTTCGCCATTTTTGCCGTACCGCCAGTTTGCCGGCCCGTACTTAATGCAAATGCTGCATTTCATGCACGGGCGGCCGTCCTTCCTCTGTGAGATCACCAGCTAGGGGAAGCGCCGTTGCCAAATGTCGTTATACTTGGCTTGAAGCTCGGCTAGAAGGGCGTCGGTATCGGGAACGAGCATCGACGGGCCAGGGTCTCGGGAAGGCTGAGTCGTCCCTCCTACAACTACTGCCTGTTTGGAGTTTGGCGTTGCGAGTGGGCGAGCTTGAGCTTGCGTGACTCGGACGTGGGGCACGCGGGTACGAGCAAACCTGATACTGCTCTTAGTGAATCAGCCGAACTTCGGGAACCGTACAACGCCCGCTGTCGGACGGCACTGACAGACGATGAACCTACAATGTCTGTGCTTTTACTGGGCGTCACTTCCAAGGGTGGATCACTAAGAGCACGGCGGTTGTTCACTTCCGACCATGGCTCTGTGCTAGCCGTCGGCGCATTACTCGGGCACGCTGGCGGCTTGGATGCAGGTGGCACAGGTGTGGCGGGAGGATTCTGGCGACGAAGAAAGTCTAAGCCCGTCAGTGGTGACGGGCGTGGAGGTGAAACGGGAGAATGAGGAAGGGACGAGGCAGGGTTGCCGTCCCGACCATCCATGGCGAATGGTTGGTGTTTCTAGGTGAAAGGCTTAGCCCAAATCTACGGCTACAAGGCTTGTTGAAGCACCAAGTGCAACAACAATGCCCTTTTCTAGAAAATTCCTCGCATGCACCGTCATGACCGCACCACGGTGCCCAATAATCGCCCACGCCACCGTCATGTGGGTGGCTGCATCGTCGGTGCAAGTCGCAGGCTCGAAGACATCCACTTTTCAACCTGCTGTACGAGACTGCCCAATGGCAGTTACCGCGCTCCTGCGCAGCGCCGCGTCGACCACGACCAAAGATTTACAGTGATTGCCGTGAAAGATGCAATTACCGTAAGTGCGCCGTAAATCACGGCACTGACATGAAGATTTGGTTTCAGATGCAACGGATACAAGGACCTGGAAAATCAGATCATACAGGAAACAGCTTCTGATACATCAGACGAAACAAACATAGCTTGGCTTATCGTCAGAAATAAAATATATCCAAAACAAAAAAATCAGAAATTGCAGCATTCCCGTCTTGTTTCTCAGAAAAACAGACAAAAATGTCTGATAGCGAGGACCCTGCTTCACATTCCAAACATCAGGAGCGAGAGGGTGGCAACAGCAGCAACGCCAGAGAAGTTGATGGCAGCAGCAATAAGCATGCCAGGGGCAGTTGCTGATGGGGCCTTAGATGCTGCAGCTGCAGCCGACACTTGGGCTGCAGTTGATGCTGGGGCTGCAGTTGATGCTGGGGCTGCAGTTGATGCTGGTGTTTCAACCGATGCTAGTGCTTCAGTGGGTGCTGCTGACACTGGAATAACGGCACACATATAGAATGGGCGTAGTTAAATCATATTGCGCAAGGCAAACCTATTCCAAAAAACTAGCTGTTTATGGAAGGTTTCATTTAAAGTCATTGTGGCATCGCTCTTGTGCGTGCGTGCGTGCGTGCGTGCGTGCGTGCGTGCGTGCGTGCGTGCGTGTGCTGTTGTTGCAGAAAGGGGACTTACATCTATGGGGCGTGCAGGAGGAGCAGAAAGAGAAGCAGAGACGGCAGAACCTGGTGGTGTTTCTCTGCTTCACCACACACTTGCTGCCCCCTGCAGGGCAGGTCAGCCGCGTGCCTGAGACGTCTCTGGGGGCGAGTGGGGAGGGAGAAGAATGGGAGAAGGGAGGAAAGAATACACAAGCGTTCAATTTTCATGAATACGATTTGTCTCTGTGAGGAGAAAACCTGCTGGAGCAGGTAGAACAAAGTACCTGAACAACAACAAGTACCTGAGTATACCTTTCTGCAACGTACACCCAGGCTATCAACAAATGAATGATCATAAATTTCCTGTTCACAAAAACGTGCTGCCGAATCCCCTGTTGGCAGAGATTCTATTGTGCCATTCTGTCAGAAAAGCTTCTACCCCGTAGAGACCAGATCGGATACAGCTTCATGTCAACCAAGATTACGTGTACACAGAAACACATAAACGCGATGAAAATTGCAAGTGTCATTTGAGCAATGGAATACATGTGGGACATAATACCCCACAGGAACAAATATTCCAACAATCAAGTACGTTAAATTATTATGCCAGTCCGAGATCATTCTGTACATATTTGGTCAATGTGGATATATACCACATGCAGTGTCAATGTGGAGCGAATCAGAAACTGGTTTGTTTGTAGAAGAACCGTACTAACTATACATGTTTGCGTTAAGAACAGACATTGCAGTACATAACATGATGGTGCTAGAAGGGAGGCCGGTCAACACCACTATGGTGCCAATGTTTCGATGAAGGGGCAAGAATAGAAGGATGCGGGATGTACTAATAGGACCCAAGCACGAAATATGGAAGCTGTAAGAGCACTGCCAGGAAAGCAGTCACATCTAGGCTTGTAGTGGATGTTGAAGGGACAGGTTGTGCTACTACTCACAGGGACGTCAGATTGACAAGTCTGCCCAGGCCAGCAGGTATGGGGTCACTCAAGTTGTTGCCTCCAAGGCAAAGACGAAGTGTGCGTCCACCCTTGGGGACAGCAGGCGGGAGACAGCAGCTTCTGCCGCAGCAGCCTCAGTGGACCTGAATCCCTGATCAGCCACAGAGCATACCTGCCACTCCCAAGTTGCAGTGCACCACTGGCGTTGCGTTGCAGTGGCGGACAGTGCACCCACCTGCACATCGCACTCTCCCCCATGCGCACTGCATGGATCGTGAATCTCACAGGCTTTTCAAGTGGACGAGGTTCCCCAGGGCGGCGGGGATCGGGCCGGATATGGCGTTGTTGGAAAGCTCCCTGGGTGATGTGCGGTGCAAATGGATGCAGTGCATTGAACCAGAAATGGAGAAGGTAAATTGTGGGAGGAGGAGAGAATGGGGAATGGGGTTTAGGAGGGAATGGGGAAAGGAGGGAATGGGAATGGGAGGAAGGGGGAAAATGCAGTGTGGTACAGTGCGGTGCTCACAGTGTCTCCAGAGCAGCGAGGTTGCCAATGTCAGCAGGAATGGAGCCTGAGAGCTGGTTGTTGTGGAGCGCGCTGGGGGGCGGTCGGGCAACGGCAGCCAGCAGGGCGTGAGGAGGGCGAGTGAGAGGGAGGGAGGGAGGGAGGCAGAGAGGGAGGGAGGATGGACGAAGGAGAAGGTGTGGAAATACAATCTGGGTGGGTGCTTGGGTCGATGCTCACAGGAGGAAAGGATATGATTGCGGTTCTGGTGGCTATGCCTTGACAGGTGAGTGTGTGGGAGCGCTGACAGGTGGGAGAGTGCAGTGAAGGAAGAGAGAAAGGCAGGAATTGTCCCTTCCAGCTTGTTGTTTTCCATGGACCTGAGAGCACCACGCAGCATGCAGCGCGGGGGAAGCGCAGTCACACACCAGCTCTGTGGAGAGTAACTCTTGTTTGAGTGAAAGGAAAGCCAAAACAGTGCCAAGCGGTTCATTCCTCTCAGAGAGAGTGATGTACAGTTGTGGCGTGAGCCTGAGGGGAGGGTAGAAACTGGCTATGACGCAGGGAGGGCGTGGGAGGGAGCGAGCGGCTGACAGGTGGTTCAGGTTGGTGAGGGTGCTCAAAGATTCCGGGATGGTGCCTTCCAGCGTGTTGTTCTCCAGAGCCCTGTGATGGGCGCATTCACAAGAGGACCAAGGTGATTCGTAAAAGAGAAGCAGGCTTTGTCATCAAAATTGTTTTAGCTAAGGTCGTTTAATTTTTCTAATTCCGTTCTTTCTAGATCAAGCGTTTTTTCCAAGTTGCCTATGGTTGCTGCCCTTCCAAGCATGAGTGCCAATGCCTATGCTGCTTGCTCGCCTATGGCTGCTTGATTGCCAACGGGATGCGAGGGCGCCTATCGGGGGTGGGAATGGCACCAGACAGCTGGTTGTTGGAGAGATAGCTACGATGGGACATGTGTGGCATGGGGTGTGGGGAATAAAGGGCAGTTTGGGCATTGACATGACACGTGACGGGGGATATGCGGGCCAGGGGAGATGGCTGCTTGATTGCCCATGACTGGCACACACACAAGTACTCAAGGGATGTGAGGGCGCTTAGGGTGGGGGGAATGGCACCAGATAGCTTGTTGTTGGAGAGAAAGCTGCGGCGGGGGACATGCGGGCCATGAGAGATGCGGAAGCTGAACCAAGTTGCCCATTCCCGCGGGAATGCTTTCCATGAGCATGTTGTGAGGCGTGGCATGGGAGTGAGACATGGTTTGGGATTGAGGCATGGGCTGCTTGGCTGCCTATGACTGCTTGAATTAGGCTGTCAACACTTTGTGTACTATATTCTATATCGCGTAGGTTATTTGCGGGTTGGGTGTAGTTTGTAATCCCAACCCTATCTTGTTGGGATTCCCTCGTAATGCTGCAAATCCGCCAACTCATCAATTGGAGATTTGCAGCCCCCCGGGCCCGGCCCTCGGAGCCAATCCTTTTCCCTAGCTTTGCCCAACCCAACCTCGTTTGTACTTGAGGCCTAGTGCCTTCTCTACAAAAGATTGGCACACTTACATGATTTCGAGGGATGTGATGCACAGTTGTGGCATGAACCCGAGGGAAGGGTATGAACGGGCTGTGAGGCAGGCAGGGAAGGGCGTGGGAGGGGACGAGCGGCTGACAGGTGGACCAAGTTGGTGAGGGTACTCAGAGCGTCAGGGATGGTGCCTCCCAGCTTGTTGTTCTCCAGGTCTTCGTGATGGGCACATTCAGCGGATATCCCATGTTGCTCGGTCGTCTATGGCTGCTTGTTTGCCAATGACTGTCACACTCACAGGTAGCCAAGGGATGCAAGGGCGCCTATGGCAGGGGGAATGGCACCAGACAGCTGGTTGTTGTCGAAAAAGCTGCGACGGGACATGTGGGGCACGGGGCATGTGGGGAATAAAGGGCAGCTTGGGCATAGGTATGACATGTGACGCTGGTTGTGGGAGAAACAGCTGCTGTGACAGGGGACGTGCGTGCTATGGGAGATGCGGAGTAATTGGGACATTGGCATGGCACGTGGGGGTATGGTGACTGACAGCATGGGAGTAAGACATGGCATGGGGGAGAGACATGGCATGGGGGAGAGACATGGCATGGGGGAGAGACATGGCATGGGGGAGAGACATGGCACAGGAGGGAGCCATGGATTGTTTGATTGCCAATGACTGACACACTTACAGCTCTCGGAGGGCCGTGAGGGCGCTTATGCCAGGTGGAATGGCACCAGACAGCTGGTTGTTAACGAGTTGGCTGCGATGGGGACATGCGGGCCATGGGCGATGGAGGGCCCGTTGGGGTTATGGTGACAGCATGGAAGGGAGACATGGCATGGGAGGGAGACATGGCATGGGAGGGAGACATGGCATGGGAGGGAGACATGGCATGGGAGGGAGACATGGGTTGCTTGGTGATGAATGGTTGCTTGGTGGCCAATGGCTGGCACACTTACATCTCTTGGAGGGCCGTGAGGGCGCTTAGGGTGGGGGGAATGGCACCAGACAGCTGGTTGTTGGAGAGAAAGCTCCGGCGGGGGACATGCGGGCCATGGGAGATGCGGAAGCTGAACCAAGTTGCCCATTTCCGCGGGAATGCTTCCCATGAGCATGTTGTGAGGCGTGGCATGGGAGTGAGACATGGTATGGGATTGAGGCATGGGCTGCTTGGCTGCCTATGACTGCTTGGCTGACAAAGATTGGCACACTTACATCCATCTGAGGGATGTGAGGGTACTTATGGTGGGAGGAATGGCACCAGACAGCTTGTTGTTGGAGGAGAGACTCCTGTGACGGGGACATGCGGGACAGGGGAGATGGAGAGTGATTGGGACGTTGGCATGGCACGTGGGGGGAATGGTGAGAGCATGGGAGTGAGACGTGGCATGGGAGGGAGGCATGGCATGGGAGGGAGGCATGGATTGCTTGGTGATGAATGGTTGCTTGGAGGCCAATGGCAGGCACACTTACAGCTCTTGGAGGGCCGTGAGGGCGCTTATGAGGACCAATCACTATACGTGAGGACCAAGGCAGGCACACACCCAAGGCAGCATTGCCCTTCCACACCTAAGGTGCTCAGGTAACTTGAAAAAGTCATTGGTGTGGGCGATGCATGGCTTATTAACGGTCCTGATGAAGACGGTTGGGATCGTCTTACCTCTAGGAGAGGTTTGAAGCTTGTATGGAGTCTCCAACTCCCTTTACGAGTTGCACCATTAGTTCATCTAGGGAAGCAGTATTTGTTTTAGCTGAGGTCGTTTTATTTCCACTCTTTCTAGCTCAAGCCCTTTTTCAAGTTCCCTATGGTTACTGCCCTTCCACGCATGAGTGCCGATGCCTATGTTGCTCGGTCGTCTATGGCTGCTTGTTTGCCAATGACTGTCACACTCACAGGTAGCCAAGGGATGCAAGGGCGCCTATGGCAGGGGGAATGGCACCAGACAGCTTGTTGTCGCTGAGATAGCTGCGACGGGACATGTGGGGCACAGGGCATGTGGGGAATAAAGGGCAGTTTGAGCATAGGTATGACATTTGACGCTGGTTGATGGAGAAACAGCTGCTGTGACAGGGGACGTGCGCGCTAGGGGAGATGCGGAGTAATTGGGACATTGGCATGGCACGTGGGGGTATGGTGACTGACAGCATGGGAGTAAGACATGGCATGGGGGAGAGACATGGCATGGGGGAGAGACATGGCACAGGAGGGAGCCATAGATTGCTTGATTGCCAATGACTGGCACACTTACAGCTCTTGGAGGGCCGTGAGGGCGCCTATGCCAGGTGGAATGACACCAGACAGCTGGTTCTCAGAGAGATGGCTGCGACGGGGACATGCGGGCCAGGGGCGTGGAGAATTGGCATGAGACAATGCTGCACTGCCCGATGCTGCTCTGCCGAATGCTGTGCTACCCAGAATCGTGTTGCTCAATGCTAGACTGCCCAGTGGTGCATGGCCCATGCTGCGATTCCAATGCTGCGTTGCCCACTGTCGTGTTGCTCAATGCAGCATTGCGATCAAAGATGGATTGCCTAATGCCGCGCTGAATATTGCTTCGTTGCGCAACGTTGAATTGCCAGTGCTGTGTGACCAAATGCTGCCATGCCCGGTAATGTGTGCACAATGCTGCACTGCTCAATGTTGTGATGGCCAATGCTGCACAGCCCAATGCTGCGTTGCCCAATGCTGCGTTGCCCAATACCACGCTGACCAAATACCGAATGCTTCACAGGCCAAATACCACCCTGCCGAACATTTTTATTGATGCATTACCAAACGCTGCAATGATACCCATTGCTGCACTGCCGCAATACTGAGCTGCTCAATGCTGCGCCCCTTAATGCTTCCTTGCCCAATGTTGAGCTATGCAATGCTCCACTGCCCAACGCTACAGTTGCTAATGCTACTTCCCCCAGTGATATGATGAATGAAAGCATGGGAGTGAGACATAAAACTGAGAAATGATATGGGAAAGAGACATGGCATGGGAGTGAGACATGGCATGGGAGTCACCCCTCCCTCCCTCCCTCCCCCCCTCCCTCCCTCCCTCCCCCCCCCCCCCCTCCCTCCCTCTCTCCCTCTCACGGCCCTACACGTGTCCGCCTGCATCTTACAGGTAGACGAGCGAGGTGAGCATGCTGAAGGATGCCGGGATGGGGCCCTCTAGGGCGTTGTTCCACATACTTCTGAGCAAGTTGCAGCACAGCACACAGAAAGTGGGGATCAAACAAGCAGACGACGGTGAGAATGGGCGAGGCGAAGGGTGTGGATGCGCACATAGGATGACAGCGCAGCACAGAGGGTGTGGGATGGGGCAATTAGTGGGGACGGAGTACAGAGGACAGAGGCAGGGAGGAATGCCGCTGGTGAGGAGCCTGAAAGGGTCGCAGAGTAAGTTGTAGCACAGCAGAGAGAGGGTGAGGCGTGAGAAATAAAGAGATGGAGAATGCGACAGATGAAGAGATAATTTTTTACCCTAAACCCTGAGTGCTTCGTCCCCCCGAAGGTGTTTCGGGGAGATGGAAAGGGCTACTGCTGGAAAGGGCTACTGCTGGACACGAAAGGGCACACACACAGCAGGGTCCCCTACATGCGTGATACAGAAGCAGCCACGAGATGCCTTAAAGATCACACAGCAGGTGTATGTGAAAGCGTATGGAGCCATGTAGAGTGGTACAAGAGGTTAGAGAGTGGTAATGGCACGAAGGCGCTGCAAAATCAGAGTGATGAGGGAAGCGCACAGACAGCTGAGAGGAGTTTAGAAAGCTGTGAGATGTACAGGTAGGTGAGAGAGGTGAGAGTGCCAAGCGATGTTGGGATGGATCCAGTTAGAGGTGGCATTTGAATCAACCTGTTGTGTTGTGTTGAGTGCACACAAGCACACACACAGACACACACCCGCACGCACGCACGCGCACGCACACGCACACACGAACAGGCACAGAAGCAGCAGAAGAGTGAAGCACAGCTACAGCACAGAGACGAAATGTCAGTGGCCATGGTGACCCACCGTGCCCTCCCCTGGGAGTCGCAGAACTCCCTCCCTCCCTCCCTCCCTCCCTCCCTTCCTCCCTCCCTCCCTCCCTCCCTCCCTCCCTCCCTCCCTCCCTCCCTCCCTCCCTCCCTCCCTCCCTCCCTCCCTCCCTCCCTCCCTCCCTCCCTCCCTCCCTCCCTCCCTCCTCTCTCCACATTCGCTCTCCCCACATCTCCTCCGTCCTACCCGAACTCCGGCGGCCTTCCGTAATCAGACTGGTTGTAATCCCAATCAGGGTTGGGATTAGTCGTGCTGTCGACATTCAAATCAGTGATGAACCCGTTGGCGTCGCATTTAATGTAATCTGCCGCGTCACAGTCGCCCCCCACGCGCCAATTGCTCGGCGAACCGCCCCATCTTGAAAAGTCCCATGCTGCAGCGCAATCCTCCAGCACCCGCGCTGCCAGGGGCTCGTGGGGAACAGGGTAGGCAGGGGACAGACAGGGGGGAGGGTGGGGGGAGGGTGGGGGGAGGGAAGGGGGAGGGAAGGGGGAGGGAAGGGGAAGGGAAGGGGGAGGGAAGGCCGAAGAGGGCAGAGGAGGAGAAGCGAGGGGTGAGGCAGGGGTGAGGCAGGAGGATCTCCCTGAGGGAGGTAGGGGGAAGGGAGGTTGAAGCCTGGGGGGCGGGTTGGGTACTGAGCGAGCAGTGTGCATGTTCATTGGGGTGTGGACGAATCCAGAACAGAGGAATAGCAGCGAGGGAGCATAGCAGCGGGGGGGAAGAACGAACACTCACAACGAACTCAGGGACGAGTTCCTACACCAGTTTCGCCAGCGCTGGTCGGTAGCAATGCAACGCGGGCAATCTGTAAGCTACATGACAAAGTGTAACGAGGCACTTCACGTGGAGAACCCGCCTGTGGGTGCCCCATGCGAGGACATGTCCCTGGGGGACTGCCTTGCCTACTGAAGCAAGCCTTGAAGCTCCCTTAGAGTATGACAAAGGGTGGCTGGTTTGCTGATGATGTTCATTTGTTTGCTTGCTAGGATGCTATACGTTCCCACCTGCATGTCTGTAATTTTCTGGACTGTAAAATGAAAAGGGCCGTTTGAGGGAGAGGGATGGGACTGGAGGGAGGGGAGGTAAATCAGCGGGAAGGAGGAGGCTGTGGATGGGGTACAGCGGGTAAGAGGGGGAGAGTTGGAGAGGGCAGGGAAAGGGGGAGTCTGATAAAGTGGGGTGGAGTGAGTTAGAGCGGGGGAAAGTGAGAGGCGAGGAGAGGTGCAGGTAGAGGGAGGAGCGAGCGACCTTACGCGTTGTTGATGCGAGTGGCGGCAGCAGGGCACGGCGGCAGCAGAAGCAGTCCCGCCAGGAGCAGCAGCGGGAGGCGGAGGTGCAGCAGCGGCGGAGGGAAGGAGAAGGAGAAGCTGCGCCGGTCTCGCCGGTCGCCCATCACTCTCCACACGGAAAGAAAGGTGCAATGGCAAGACGTGCAAAGCTGAGCAACGACTGCAGTGGAGGAGTGATGAGGGTGATGGACTCGTGCAGACAGCTGCTGATGCAGCGGCAGTGGAGTCACTTCCGCCGGCAGCGGCACCGGCTGTGCATGCGCTTCTGGCACTTCTGAGAACTCTCGAAGCTGCTGTCACGGCTGCTTTGCTCGGGCCGCCGCCAGGAAAACTGAGACTGCGTTTCCAAGTTTTGCACTCCCAATCGAAACTTGACTGTGGTGAAACGCCTTGGGGGACACGAATCAACCAACTAATAGGGAGATTTTCAGCGTTTTGAAACAAGACTGGACATGGAGGTCACGGTGTTTCGAAATGGGCCTGCAATGCCTGACTGCCGTATTGATCGTCTTGCGGGACGATGGAAGTGGCGGAGCGCGAGATCATCCCAAAATTCACCTTGTCGATTTCACTCACAGAATGATGCAAACCTTGGGGTCACCCTCATGTGGTGACCCACAAGTCCCCCCTGTCTTCCCTTCGGGTTACCTCAGGGCACGAGCTACGTCAGCAACAAGCGCCAATCTTAGCGCCCGCCATCGGAGCAAGCCTGCTCACCAATCGGGAGACTTTCCAGTTCGCGAGGGGACCCCGAGGTTACCCCAACGTTGGCGGGAGTGGGTTGGATGTTGTTTGGCGCGTCTCTGCTTCTCCCGAGGCACAAAACGAACGAGATTTACCAACCCGTGTTTAGGGTTTCTCGATACACATGATTCGAGACGGCATAACTACGATTGTTCAATTGTAGTATACAGTTTTGCATCACATTTTGTTTCACTTGCAAAGAAACAGGGAACATGAGACAGAGAAAACATCATCATGAACCCTTAGATGTAGGGTTCGTTTAGGGTTGTCCTCAGTGTGCAGAGTCCCCATCGAGTCGCCTATAATATGGGGGTTTGTAGCTGGGGGAATATGCTAGCCTATGAATACAACACACTTGTTACAAGTCTAGCATACCTACCAAATCTCGTTTATCCAATGCGTCCATACGCCTGCAATCATCAAGCGCACCAGTGGCCATGGGATACATCAGAGGCTCAATTTAAACACCCCCATGCCGCAGCCCCTCGGCCCACTTGTTCAACAACCAGGTACTTGGCCGAGCAAACGACCTCACCATGATGGTGGCTAAACCATGGTCGCCGTCGCTTGCGCTGTCACAGTGTGCTTTGGCAAAGGCCGTTTATACGAGCGTGCTTGTTTCGAAATCGCTAAAGAGGACACAGCGCGAGCCTCCCCTGCCACAGCGGACGACAAGAGATAGCTGTTGGCTCTTCCCAACAAAGAGGAGGCCTCGCGTGTGATCATCGCGAAATTCCATGTGGGCCAAAAATGTACACGGTAGCTTTTCTTGCGGGAAAGCTGCGGAAAACCCTCAGAAATACACCGAGTGTGAAAGTTGCGAGAATGTCACCTGTATAGCGCAACCAAAAAGCTACGGAAATGGCACTTGTACCCCTCAAATGTGCACACCCGCTTCGTGTCTCGCGTGTTAAAGAGCGGTACAGTAAGGTTTAGGAAGTTAAAGTTAGCGACAAAATCGCACAGCTGACGAAATGTTACCTGTGTGAACGAAATTTCTCAATCCTGAAATTGAAACGACCAATCCACAAGCAGCGCGAATGTTACACACCAACTGTGTTTCCCGAATTTTGCCAACCACCAACAGCCAACACCCTGCTGATTCAGAACCACATCTTGTGGTTCTGAACCAATCGTGTTGGAAACAAACCTGAGCCCACCAATCACCACGATTCCTTATCTCCACGTCAGCTTTTAACCTGGAACCTCTCGAATGTGCTCCCAACCAACCCTACTTCTACCTCCTCCTAGCTTTGTGTCTCATTTTCACCTCTTGTTCTCTAGCATTTTTAAGGATGCCTCTCATTTATAGCCGCGCTGCTCTTCTTTGCATCAACTTTCTCTGCCATGATCAGATCCGTCTTCCATGGGTATTCTTGTTCTCCCCTAAAGTCTTATTGCATTCTTCTTTCTTTTTTCTTTTTTCCTATGCCATTGTCCAGGTTAAAGTCCGAATTCAAGAGGATCGGGAGTCGTTTTTGTGAAACAATGAGAAGAGGAATGGGATGACTAAGTCACAAATTGGTACAAATAACAAACCCTAGGAATCTGTACCCCATATGTGCTACCCCACTATAGCCTACAAACATGTATCAGCTATAATGCTCTGACACACCCCCATAGGCAAAGTGGGGGAGAACAAGGGGTCACAAGACCAGTCAAGCAAAGCAAAGCAAGCTCAGGGTGGATCACAAAGTCACCACACAGTCCGAGCACAAGAGCAGGGCCAGAGGCCAGTTCACATGCAGGAGTACAGACATATATATAATACTAGACAAGCAAGAGCAGGTATATATATATATCACAGTACAAGTGAAGTCAGGAAGAGAGCAAGTGAGGCAAGACAGGCACAAGACCCAGCTAGGTACAGAAGCGCTGATGGTCACAAGGCGCGAGTGCCTTGGTGAACACATCAGCAGTGTTGGCCTCAGAGGCCACGTACGCAAGTCGCAGCTGACCACGCTGCTGCAGCTCACGAGCAAGGAAGTAGCGAAGAGCAATGTGCTTCGTTCTGTGCTCCAAGCGCTGCTCTCGACACAAGGCCAGCATGGCCTTGTTGTCTACGTACAGCACTGGAGGAGAACGAGGCGGCTCTCCAAGGTCAGTCAGCAGGTAGGTGAGCCAGCGAAGCTCCTGTGCAGCCATGGCCCCGGCGTAGATCTCAGCCTCACAACTGGAGCAGAGAACCGAAGACGAGCGAGTAGACCGCCACGAGACAGAGCCGGAACCAAGGCTGAAGGTGTAACCCTGTGACGACCGCTGCGTAGCCTGGTCGTCAGCCCAAGAAGCGTCCGCGTGGCCGGTAAGGACCACTGGACTCCGCCCTCCAAGCACTAGCCCCATGCGTGACGTACTGCACAGGTAGCGCAATACCCTCTTCGCTGCAGCCATGTGCTCAGGTCGGTGTCTCCCAGGAGCAACATAGCGTGCAAGGATGCTCAGAGGGTATGCAAGGTCAGGTCGTGTGCAGGTCATCAGGTACATGAGGCAGCCAACAAGCTCTGCATACGGGCCACTCGACTCTACGGACTCATCCGAAGGCAGAGCTGAGAGCGAGTGGCGAGTAGGCACAGGAGTGGCCTGAGGCGAGGAGTACGTGAAGCCGAAGCGCTGAAGGACCTGCTGCACCATGTGTGACTGAGTCAGGGTAATGGTGCGGCGTGCTCTGTCCCGAGTGATCTGCAAGCCAAGGTAGCTGCGCAGTTCACCCAGGTCTGTGCACGTGTGTCTCTTCAGCAGCTCGGACTTCACGTAGGCGAGTCCAGCAGTGTCCGCTGTGGCAAAGACCAAGTCGTCGACGTACACGAGGATGTAGAACGGCGGCAAGGAAGTGTCGGTGCGAAGAAACAGCGACGGGTCAGCAGTGGAAGGAGCAAACCCAAGAGCCGCAAGCGTAGTCCTCAGTGTGTCGTGCCACTCACGCGGTGCCTGGCGGAGACCGTAGACTGGCCGTCGGAGGCTCCACTGGGTGCCAGGAGGGAAAGTCCCAGTGAAGCCAGGCGGACGGCGCAGCCAGATCTCCTCGTGCAGGCTACCCTGCAGGAACGCAGTGCTGAAGTCGAGAGAGTGAAGCTCGTAGTCGCGCTGAGCGGCAACATGCAGCAGCACCCGAAGAGTAGTCATCTTCGGAGTGGGAGAGAAGGTCTGAAAGTAGTCAACTCCCTGCCGCTGACTGAAGCCACGAGCGACGTAACGCGCCTTGAGGACAGGCGGAGAGCCCGGCGGCCGCTTCACCCTGAAGATCCACATGCCACTGACGATGTTCGCCCCAGGAGGGGGAACTGCGTCAACGTAGGTGCCTGTGGACTTCCAGGAAGCCATCTCTGCATCCATAGCTGCCTGCCACTGAGAGGAGTAGGGACCCTCTACAGCCTCCGCGTAAGAACGCGGAGTCGGGATGTCTAGTGCATCCGGGTCTCCCTCAGGGGCAAGCAGTACAGACGCGAGATGAGGTGAAGCAGCCGCTAGACACTGTAACTCCTCCTGCCTGTCCTCTAGGACGTCCGTGCCAAGAGCACACTCACCCCCGACGGACGGAGGACAGACAGACGCAGACTCAGCAACAAGACTAGCAGCGTAGTCTAAGCGACAGCGAGCAGCAAAGTCGACAAGCTCAGTGAGTAGGGCAAACGCAGCAGAAGACTCGAAAGAAGGGTCAGTGACCACAGTAGCAAGGAAACGCGTGACAGTAGGACTGGCAGCACGCAGAGAGTCCGACGCAGGGTCGGCAAGCGCAGGAAGAGAGGACGCAGGAGGAGAAGGCAAAGGGGCACGCAGAGGAGCAGTGGACGGACGCAAAGACATCTGGTGCGTGCCAGGGACAGGAGGAGGACGCTGACGCGAACCGCGACCAGTAGCGCGAGCAGGACGAACAGGCGACGCAGGACGAGACGCAGGCTCACGACGCTCAGCAAGACCTCCAGTAGGACCAGTGTAAGGAGAGGGAGCAGGTAGTGGAGAGGAAGGCTCCAGCAGGGACTGCGACTGGACAGGCGGTGGACTCTCTACTGGAGGAGAAAGACCAAGAACCTGCTGCAGGAGCGGAACGAAGTACGGTCGAGGCCGCTCAGCAGCTCCAGGCGCAGCAGGGACAGCTCCAGCACCCTCAGCGACAGCACCAGGGCCACCAACTCCTCCAGCAGCAGGACCAACAGCAGCAGTCTCAGCACCAACACCCTCAGCAGCGCCAGCTCCAGGAGGACCCGCAGGCCCAGCAGCTCCGGGACCGGCAGCACCAGCACCCTCGTCAGTCGAAGAAGGTCCAGCTCCAGCTCCAGCAGCACCCCCAGACTCAGCAGCACGCCTCCAACGACGAGCGAACCACTCGCGCAGCTCTTGTGGAGAGAGAGGCTCCCGGGGA